TATTTTTATGTCAAGGGTTTAGTTCCTGTGGAGGGGTTATCGCTGGATGCCGGACACATAGGGATTCCGTTACTACTTAATTACTGTTTTGATGGCTAAGGTATGTGAGATATAATTATCCTTTCGCTGCATTCCCACGGTCACCGTGACATTCCCCCCTCCTTAGCGTCGCTTTGCTCCGCTAAAGCGTAAGGCTCTGATGGGGCTTCTAAGTTGAATGATCCCCTCATCTTCGTCTTCAGTGATATTTCGGGAGGTGACCGTCCTTGGTACTGTTGATGTTTGATCGATCCTGTTTACACGAGCGGTAGGGCAGAGTATTTTGATACATACATTTTTAGGAAGTGATCGGCGTAGACATTCGAAAAGTTTACATTTGTACATTACATATATTGTTCCTAGTCCTAGGGCTACGATTCCTAATATCTGTAGTGTGGATATGCCATATTCCTTCAGTGAATTTATGCGTCGCTCAAATTGAAGGGTACTGATTTGTGTTTGTAATGCATCGAGGTTGGCTTTATATCGGTAAAAATTATGAGTTACCTTTTGAGCTGTTTCTAATATTTTCTTTAATATTGGAACATGTGTTTCTTCGAAGCTGTATATACTATTCTTAAATTTGGTTTCGTAAGAGATATTTTTACGCGATCCTCCTATTTTCATGATATTATTATCGTATGTGATTATGCACCCGGTTTTACTGCTAATTAAGCTTGGTTGTCTAATTTCTAAGATTTTATGTGTCTTACATAACACGTCGATTTGTACATTTTTCGCAGGAATAATAATATAATGGTTTTCCGTCTGCAAAGGTACGAACGTCAATTCTTCCACCTGGAAGACAGCAGTCGGGCAGGTTTTGACTGTCTGCCGATTATTAATTAATTCTGATCTGCATTCAGGTGAATTGATTCTATTGTGACTCGGTTGAGTTTTTTTACAAATGTGGATGATTGATGTTCGTTTACAATATTTATTGAAATAGTGACTATCGGCAAAGGTGTATTGTTCTGAGTCGGTTAGTATCAAGTCAGTTTCTATTACAGGCGCAATGACTACAGAGTTTTGTTTAGAAGGTATCGGGTAAATTTTAGTTATTTTCCATTCATTGTTTTCCAAAAGCGGCACAGTTATTGTATATATGAGTTTGTTATCTTTTATCCATACCTTTAGTTTACTTAGATCTAGAATTAGTTGAAAGTTTTGAACTGAAGGTTCGATATGGTTAGTCATAAAATTTTGTCTCGTTATTTGGCCAAGTGTTTTTAAGAATATGTTGGCGTAATTTAATGGTTTTACTACTAGATCGCTTTTAATGTACTCGAGTGTTATGATGATTCATATTATGGTCTTCTTCTTGAAAGGTAGGGTTTTAGCCTGTTACCGTGGATTCTCTGCGTGTGGCCGTTGGAATAAAATAGGTGGGTGGATTGGATGAGAGGATTTCTGCAGGTCCTAGCCATTCGTGGTCTGGTTTGTTAGTTTTGTGATCGTTATGTACCCATACTTTATCTTTAACTCGGAATATCGTCTGTGTTTTAATAATTTTTCGTACTTGACCTCTTTGATATCGCTTTTTGTTAGATTCGGTAATTCATCTTGCTTTAGCTATATAGGCGTTATGTCGATTTTTCCAGGGGTTAAACAATTGTTCTCTAGTTAAGCTAGGAGTGGTTGATATTGAGGATGGCATGTTAGCTTGTCGTCCAAATGTTAATTCGAATGGGGTATGTCACGGTCGTCTCGTGTACTGAAGTATTATATCCCATGCATATTAATTTTAAGTTTTCATCCCAGTCGTTCTGTCGGTCGGTCGTACAAGTTCGAATAAGGTCCATTACTACGGCATGCGTTCGTTCAAGCGATCCGTTAGATTGTGGATGGAAAGAAGTGGTTTTTATGTGTCGGATTTTGAAAGCCTTTTCAAATGTGTCCATCAATTTACATACGAAATTTCGTCCCATGTCCGTGAGAATACTTTTTGGTGCGGAAAATATATATACATAGTGATCCAAAAGTTCGTTAATGATTGAGTTGGCTGTTTGTCATATTATGGTCTTCTTCTTGAAAGGTAGGGTTTTAGCCTGTTACCGTGGATTCTCTGCGTGTGGCCGTTGGAATAAAATAGGTGGGTGGATTGGATGAGAGGATTTCTGCAGGTCCTAGCCATTCGTGGTCTGGTTTGTTAGTTTTGTGATCGTTATGTACCCATACTTTATCTTTAACTCGGAATATCGTCTGTGTTTTAATAATTTTTCGTACTTGACCTCTTTGATATCGCTTTTTGTTAGATTCGGTAATTCATCTTGCTTTAGCTATATAGGCGTTATGTCGATTTTTCCAGGGGTTAAACAATTGTTCTCTAGTTAAGCTAGGAGTGGTTGATATTGAGGATGGCATGTTAGCTTGTCGTCCAAATGTTAATTCGAATGGGGTATGTCACGGTCGTCTCGTGTACTGAAGTATTATATCCCATGCATATTAATTTTAAGTTTTCATCCCAGTCGTTCTGTCGGTCGGTCGTACAAGTTCGAATAAGGTCCATTACTACGGCATGCGTTCGTTCAAGCGATCCGTTAGATTGTGGATGGAAAGAAGTGGTTTTTATGTGTCGGATTTTGAAAGCCTTTTCAAATGTGTCCATCAATTTACATACGAAATTTCGTCCCATGTCCGTGAGAATACTTTTTGGTGCGGAAAATATATATACATAGTGATCCAAAAGTTCGTTAATGATTGAGTTGGCTGTTTGGTCTTTTAAGGGTATGAGGATGAGATATTTGGTTAATTGGTCTTGGATAGACAGGATAAACTGATTGCCCGCTTGGTTTTGGTGAGAGGTCCGAATATGTCCACTGCGATTTTGTCATTAGGATTAAGGGGGGTGTCAGTTATTATAGGTTGTTCTTTGGCGCTGATACGATTTAGCTTTTCTTGTTGGCAGGTTTCGCAGTTTTGTATGAATTCTATAACGTCTTGTTTTAGGTTCGTCCAGTGATGGTGTTCTTGTATTCGTTTCACGGTGCGGTGTATACCTAAGTGTCCTACCATTTCGTGATGATTTTCGCGTAGTATCGTTTGTTTTTGTTCGTTATCATAGTCTACTGGCGGATCTTGTCCAAATATTAATTTAATTTGAGGGAATCTAGTTGTTAGAAACCTCAGCATAAGTTGAATATTTACCTTATCTAACGTGCTGTTATTTATTCCTATTTGTAAGCGTCCGGTTCGGTGTTTAATAAAGTGTTTGGTTAATTGGCGCAACCAATGCTGTTCGTTAAAGTCTCCTAATTCGGTCTTTGTCCTTTAAAGTGTGGTCTGTTAGGTTTTTGAGTTATCGGAGCTGGGGTGATATTGATTTTCCAGTCTATATACTCGTCATAATAGCCCGGGTTTTCTACATTGGGTTGGATTTCTTCATTGGTGATAGGATACAATCGGGATAGAGCGTCTATAGCTGTATTTTCTTTTCCTTTTTTGTATTCGACTTCATAATCGTACTCCTCGAGTCTCAAACGCCATCGCATGAGTCTCGATGAAGGATCTTTAACATCCTTTAACCATTTCAAGGCTTGATGATCACTTTGAATTTTAAATTTTCTACCAAGTAGGTATTGTCTTAATCTTTTGATTGACCATACTATTGCCAATAACTCTTCGTCGGTCGTGGAATAATTTCTTTCAGGAGGGTTCAAGGTTCGGGATATATAACAGCATGGATGTCCGTCTTGGGAGATTATTGCTCCTAACCCTTCGTTACTTGCGTCTGTTGTTAATGTGAATGTTTTGTCAAAGTCTGGATATTGCAGTACAGGGGCTTCACAGAGTTTTTGTTTTAGTGTGTCAAATGCAAGTTGTTGTTTATCGGTCCAATGGAATGGAGTGTTCTTTTTTGTGAGATCTGTCAGTGGTTTCGTGATTTTAGAAAAATTACGTATACATTTTCTATAGTATTCAACGAGTCCTAAGAATGATTTTATGTGGTTTTTGGTGTTTTAAAGTCTTTCACGGCTTGAATCTTTTTGGGATTAGGCTTTACTCCCTCTTTTGTTACTACGTGTCCTAGGTATTCCAATTCTGGTTTCAAAAATTCGCATTTGTCCGGTTGTATTTTTAATACTAAATTTTGTAGTCTGTTTAGTGTAATAGCTAGATTTCGGTTATGTTCTTGGATGGTGCTCCCGAATATTATAATGTCATCTAGGTATACAAAACAGTTATTTCCTATTAACCCCCGTAGCGCGGTATCCATCATACGTTGAAACGTCGCCGGTGCGCTTTTTAGGTCGAAGGGCATGCGATTATAGTGGAAGTGACCTTGTGGGGTTGAGAATGCAGTATATTTTTTGGAATTTTGCTCCATAGGTATCTGGTGAAATCCTGACGAGAGGTCTAGGTCTGAGAAAAATTTAGCTTTGCCTAAGTGATCGAGTATTTCGTCCGAATTTGGTAAAGGATATGCGTCTTGGTCTGTTTGCTCGTTTAATTTTCTAAAATCTATAACGATTCTCCATTTTTGTTTGCCTGATGCGTCTAATTTCTTTGGAACTACCCAAATGCTGAGAAAAATTTAGCTTTGCCCATGTGATCGAGTATTTCGTCCAAATTTGGTAAAGGATATGCGTCTTGGTCTGTTTGCTCGTTTAATTTTCTAAAATCTACAACGATTCTCCATTTTTGTTTGCCGGATGCGTCTAATTCCTTTGGAACTACCCAAATTGGTACGTTATATGGACTGTCCGATGGTTCTATGATTTGTTTGTTTAACATGTCGTTGATTTGAGTCTCGATTTCTTTTTTATGACATTCGGGCGGTCTATAGGACTTGATGTTTATAGGTTTGTCTGTCTTGAGTGTGATTGTATGTTCTGTTAAGTTAGTACATTGTAATGAGTCTGTTTCCATATTAAAAACGTCTAAGTAATTAATGAAGATTTTCTCAAGGGGTTCTCGAAGTTCTGGATCAATATGTTTGGTACATATTATTTGTGCGAATTTATTAATTTGGCTTAGTTTATCGGGTTTCTCTATTTCGTTTTTAATGTGACAGATTTGCTTACCAGTGTTGATGAAACATACTGCTGTGGGCTTTCCTTCGATGTATTAGGGTGAAATTAAAGTTTCGCCTGGTCTTATCTTGCAATCGCTTTTCTGGAATGGTAATATAATGTCGTCTAAGGTTAGTTTATTGTTAGTGACGCTGTATTGGTACTTTGTAAGGAATGGGAGTCCGATTATTCCATCTTCGATTAGAGGAAAGTTGTTAGGGACTACGTGGAATTGATGATTTTTCTTGAGCATAGTTAAATTGCAAATTTTGTTAGTGGTATGTTTGTCACTTCCCATTAGGAAGGTCTTTGGGTTAGAGGTTTGGACGTTTAGTGAGGCTTTTTCTTTTATAAGGTTGATTCCTGCTCCGTTATCGACGAGGAATCTGGCTCTTCCTCCGTCTCTTCGTTGCAGTACGATTGATAGTAATCTTCCAGTGGTGGTGCAGTTGACTCGAGGTAAGCTTCCTCTGGGTTCTCTGTTGTTTGGTTTACTCGGGGTGGAATCTTTCCTTGGTTGGCGAATGGAAAATTTCGAGAGTGGCAGTTTTCGGCTGTGTGTCCAGTTCGTAAACACTTCGGACACTTCGGTTTCATGCGGTCGTCTAATGGTCGGCTAGGTAGCTGAGCAAAAGATTGTGGTTGTGGATCGGTAGTAGTTCGCTTGGATACTAGTAGTGTTGTGAGATTGATTCTTTGGGCGGTTGGCGACAGGATTTGCTTCTCGTAACCATTGTTCTCTGTCGGCTGCTAGTTGTTGGACAAGGTTCAGGTTCTTTGGATCGCTAGATACTACCATCTGTCCTATCTCGTATCGTAAGTTGAGCAAATAGGTTTTAAGTGCTTCGCGTTCTTCAATATCTATAGCTACGCGTCGTTCTGTTGGTGTGCGGTTTTCGTTTTGAACTGCGTAATTTAATTCGTTTAGCTGTTGTCGGAATCTGGAGTTGAAAGATTGTACACTTTCTGTTGCCCCTTCTTTTAAATTCTTTAATTTGTCCCTACAATTGCTAATAGTTGTTGGTGTCAATACGTGTTGTCTTAAGCATGAATATAAGTCTTCGAACGAGTTGATTTTTAGATATCGTATGTTTCGTTTCGCGTTGTCGGTAATCCTTTCGATCAGTATGAGATCTAATAATAACTCTCTGTCACTAGCCTTGCACCTAGCTCTTGCTTTGCGGACCGATAAAATGAAATCTTCAACGCTTTCGTCATCTCGACCTCGTAGTGTCTCGACAGTTCGTATGGCCTTATCTACTTCGAGGCCTTGATCTTCATTGTAGTTGTTTCTTGGTTTAATCGCGGCGCGGTTAGATGCGGCTCGTGGTCTTTGTGAAGCGTTCGGCCCGTCAGTTTCGTCATCCGTTACGTTATCAGCAGCAGTTTCTAAATGGGTGTTGATTAGCGACTGGTCGGTCTCGGTATCGTATTTTATTTCCATGGTTTCTGCAAGATCGCGTATTTCTTTCGAACGGTTTCTATCACTAGTTTCCGCAAGTTCCTTTATGTTTCTAATGTTTTGATCGGTGCTATTTCTAAAGCTCTTAAACTCGTGAGTTAGGTTTTCAAATTGCTCAATCAGGGTAGCAATTAGCTTGTTTTGTTTGGCGGTACTCTTTTCAGTTGGGTTTATGCTGAGAAATATGACACTTTCGGCGGGAGAAGAGTCACTATCTTCAGAAAGTATTTCGGGTTTACCGCCAGGAAGGCGGCTGGAGTGGATGGGATTCCTGCACTGTAGTGAGATTATTGGCGGAGCAAAGACCTAGCGTGCTCCGGACAGTGCTCAACGGAATAAAGACCTGTGGAAAAATACCTGCGGTATGGAAAGAGGCTAGGTTGGTATTAATACCCAAGCCTGGCAGAGAACTTGGGACGTCATTGGCGTATAGGCCAATTAGCATACTGCCGGCGTTGAGCAAGGTGTGGAAGCACACGCTGAAAATGCTCATAGAGAGGAGCATTGGTCAGGATCCCTTCCATAGGGATCAGTATGGCTTCAGGAGAAACAGGGAGATTCTTGAAGCCTTGGATAGGACGGTTGCAGTTGCTGAAGAGTGTAGAAGGAAGGGCCTGGTGTGTGTTCTGACCGCCCTTGATGTAAAGAACACCTTCAACGCTCTAAGGTGGAGAGGATAATGGAGAAGATTCGAAGGAGACGGCTACGAGGACGGCTACAGGAGTTGTTAGCGGACTATCAGGCTGAGAGGAGAATATTGGTACACTGTCAGAACGGTGTCGTAAGGAGGAACGTCTACGCGGGGGTCCCGCAGGTCTTAGGGCCGTTACTGTGGAATCTAGTGTATAACGGGGTGCTGTAGGCGCTAGACCGGGAGAAGGACACCGAAGCAGTAGCGTTCGCCGACGATCTTGCGATTCTACTCAAGCTCTGAGGGTTCCACGACATGAATGAAAGGATAAAGGCGATCATAGTCTTGGCCACCAGGTGGTGCTGCGAAGCTGGATTGCATCCGGCCAGGGAGAAGACGGAGGTTAACCTCTTAACAAGGAAGAGAATTCCGAAGATTTTTAATGTTGACGTGGGGGATGGGGGGGGGAGGTTTCCACCAGCCGTGTTGTGAAGTACCTAGGGGTAGTGTTGGATAGTGCTAGGGGATTCTCCCTCCACCTCAAAGCAGTTTATGATAAAGCAGAACGGTTCTTGAGCGCCATACGGAGCGTACTCCCAAACGTCGGTGGGCTCAACAGTGGGCCCAACGATTTAGTCAGGAGACTATATTATGGTGTCTGGGAGTCTGTGGTACTATATGGGGCACCGATATGGGCCTCCTCTCTGGGAAGAGAAACAAATAGGACGACCATGGGAGGGGTACAAAGGGCAGCGTTGATCCGCACGTCTACCGCCTACCGTACTGTGTCACATGGGGCTCTGTGTGTGCTTACCGGTAGCATGCCGATTTACATTAAGGCGTGGTTGCGGTGGAAGCAGTATGGCTTAAAGAGGCGGATCAAGGAGAGCCCTGAAGACGTGGCACATGCTGGGCAGAAAGAAAAGATCCGCTGATCTTCTACAAAAGAAAGAGGAAGATCAACTACCATACGATGCAGATCCTTACGGGAAACGGTATCTTTAACTGTTACCGTTATAGGATCGGCAAAGAGTCGCACACCAGCTGTTGGGATTGTGGTGCGATGATGGATGACGCCGAGTATGTGCTATTTTGGTGCCCTAGATGGACGGAGGAGAGAACGGAGTTAGAGGTCGAGATCGGTGAAGATTTTAAATTGGAGAGCCGAGTCGTTGAGAAAATGGCAGCAGAGGAGTGATTATGGAACAGGTTTCATGACTTTTGTACAAAGGCGATAAAATGCCGGCTTTCTAATGAAAGGGAGGTGGAGGTCAGGAGAAGAAGGGAAGGAAGGAGGAGAAGAATTACCAGAGTCGAGGAAAGAGGATAAAGGATTGGGTACGTGCTGTAGAGGCCAACCTGAAGGAATGTTGAATGACTGTACCGGGTTGGTGCCTCGAATACCGTAGCAGAGGGAGAATGAGGAGGGGTTTTTACTTACTGGGTATGCGTAAAAGCATTTTCCCTCCTCGATATAAAAAAAAAGACATGATGAGGCTGAAAGACTTTGAAGAATTAAATTCATTTTTTGCGGAATTTGAGAAAACGATAAATGAATTAAAGACTGCTGGTGCAAACGTAAGTGAACGTTAAAAACTCGACTACACGCTGAAAACAATACCAGAATTATAGAGCTACATTGGTGACTTAATCGACTCAGTGAAGGAAAGTGACCGAATATGCGAATTTTTAAAAAATAAAATTACAATGTGGGAAACGCGTAGCAAGAGGGAAAGTGATAGGACAAGGTCAAATGCATTCACAGCTGGAAAAAGGGACATAAAGTGCTATGCCTGTGGAATGCCTGTGGTAAGAAATTGTACAAACACGTACACCTTACAATTGTACAAACACCGTACAAGGCACCTTGTGCCTCGCTACCTTGATTAGCTAAGCCTGCAAGGGTCTTCGCTCGTTACAGGTCGAACAGGGCAATTCTAAGCCCTACCGTCTCACCAAGACGGTTGCGGAGCAGGTGGGACGCTGCTCACCCGCCGAAGGCCATTCGGGGCGAGCCATTACCCCTTAAATCAGCCCTCTTGCCAGCATTTTGGCCATCAGCCACTGCCACCACGAGTCCAAACCCATAATTAGCCGAGCAAGGGGATCGCAACTCCCTCCGGGCTTACACTCAACCGCCCGTGGCCTTAAGTCATTGGTGGGACTATCGTGTGGATGTACCGCCACGTCACTGCCAGCCGGCATCCTGCTAACCATGTTCGACAGATCCAAATGGGACTCACGTAAACGGGGGCCTCAAGGTACAAAGTACCCGGGAACTTATACCGACGGTCCCATCCTTGGCATCAGGATCGTGGGTGGGCTACTACCCAAGGCCACGTAGAGAGAGCATAATCGAGTCTCTCGCTTACACTCCCGGCGACCTTCCTTGCGGTGTACATAGAGGACTCACATAAGCGGGACGCTTGTCCCGACGGTCCTCCCTGGCAGCGGGAACGTGGGTTTGCCAGCCCCCATAGACTTACATAAGCAAGTCCTGCGAGGGTGTCACAGGTGAAATTCGAGCAGCCATATGATAAACCAAAATTCCGAGCGCCTTATCACGTGTGACCGTTCGGTCAGCATCCGTCGTTCTCAGCCTGGGTGGCATTCGGTCACTCTAGCTGTTCCCCGAAATATATGATAAGTACGAGCGTAGCCTTCTCCCACTCCAACGAATAAAAGAACATAAATGCTCACTTCAAAATCATCCAGTCAGTCTGAAAAAATTCTCAACTAGCCCAAGTATCAAAGGGTATCATCGCGAACCGAAAATAATACTGTACAAATTGAGTAAAAATGAAAGAACTCGATCTCCTTTTCGGAAATTGACAAATTTTCTGTTTTCTATCATAATTTTAACGCTACATAACGCTACAAGGGCACGACGACCAAGAAATTGGATCCTTCCTAACGAGAGTAGAGCGCGAAAGTAGTACGAATGAAATTACGGTATATACTAACGATACGCAAAAAATAGGATATTGGATAGTGGATGTTCACATCACATTGTAAATGATGACTATTATTTTGTTGAGTACGAAAATTTTAAAAACCCGATAAATGTAAAGATAGGAAACTGTAGAATTCTAAAAGGAGCAAACGTCGGAAAAATTTTAACTTACTTTGAGGTAAACAAAAGGAGGATTAAAATTATAATGTCTAATGTATTTTATGTGAAAGAAATGGATAATAACTTGGTTAGCTATGCGAGAGCAACGAATGAAAATAAGATAATCTCAGCAGGAAATACTTCAAAGATATATAACAAATACAGAAAGTTGATAGGGATAGCATTCAAAGATCATGGTTTATATAAAATAAGTAGTTACATTGAAAGGCAAGAATTTCATGCTAAAAATGTAGGAAAAATGACAAATAAGGAAAAATTTCACAGGATCTTAGGGCATGTAAACTTTAATTATTTAGATACAATCTGCAAGAAAAAATTAGTTGAGGGAATGCCAGAAAATTTTGAGCAGCCCATGCCCTGGTCGCGTTGAGTGCACTCGTTCCCGTCAGATCACGAAAGTTAAGCAGTGCCGGGCACGGATAGTATTATACTCGGATGGGTGATTGCCTGGGACTCCGTGTGGCGTTGGCGAAGCGTGCTGGGCCCACCGCCCCCCCCCCTCGGCGGCTCAGCGCTTCGTGGCCACCAAGCAGTCCGGTAGGGGAACCGGGCTGCCTGGCACGGCGGCTCCGGCGACGAGGCGGTGTGATGACAATGGTCACACATGGTCACACACCGCCCCATCAGTGGTGGTATTAGGCGCGCGGTGGAGGTCCCGTTGCGACGCTCACAGCGGATCCCGAGCCTCTCTCAATCGCAGCCGGGACGGTTATCGTGAAGGTTTTAGTCGGTTGGAGCCCGACACTGCTACGCTGCTTTCCCCAGAAGCAGCCTGGCGTTCGTGCGGATTTCCTCCACGGAAAATATAAAAAAAAGAAAAAAAAAGACAATTTTGAGCAAGTACAATTAAAATGCGGTACATGTATCCAAAATAAAATGCACAATTTACCCTTCCAATATAACCGTAGTAGAGCACGCGAGATTTTAGAATTAGTACATACTGATTTAAATGGGGCTCATAAAAATACCGGGTTTGATGGATCCAAATATTTCTTAACATTTATAGACGACTACATTAAGTGCGCATTGATTTATACTTTGAAATCAAAAGATGAAGTTTACAATTGTTTCCTTGATTATATAAACAAAGTTGAAAATCCTACTGGTAAGAAGATAAAGAGATAAAGATGCGATAATGGAAAAAAATATATGAACAAAACATGTACAATCTAATTAGTGACAAGGGAATTGTCGTAGAACCATGCCCACCTTATGCTCACGAGTTAAATGGAACAGCTGAGCACTACAATAGAACAATCATGAATTCAGCTAGATGCTTATTACATGATTCAAAGCTGAATATTACATATTGGCCGGAAATAGTTAGAGCCGCGGCGTACTTAAAAAATAGAACCATTA